TTAGTATTAGTATGGTATAGATGTAGCATTCTTGCATGTATATAGTTTTTTTAAAATAAATAATTTACTTTTGTTGTCATATTATTTCATGTAACTAATAAATATAATAAACATTTATTAATGGGTATATTTATAATAAATTATTTATAATATATTAATCACATTATATTTTAGTTGGCAAATTTCATAATTGATTTGTTAAGTACTGGGTATTTTACATTTACAAGTGCAATTAATCCATCCTTAGTATCTGGGCACTTTATATTCTAGGCCTCCAAAAATCATGAGGAGTATTATAAATGGGGACTTTTAGTCTATGCTATACAGTAATTTGTGATTAAACATAAATGTAAAAAGCAGAAAATCAAGCATTTGATAGCAGTAAGTAGGTTAGTAAAGTGATAAATAGATCAATTCTTAAGTATACATTTGAAAAATACATACCTTTGAAGTATTGAACTTAGAATAGCTAAAATGAATAAATACAGTTAGACAAAATTTATCATTTTTTAGATAAAATCTGTAGCATATTCTAACAGTATATAGATTTGATTAAAATTTAATTATGGCTAAATATTTATTGCAATGAGCCTCTAATTATGCAATCTTTCTAAATGCACTCTTAAATCCTAGCTCAAATATATACTTTATCTTTATAAGCACTTTTTATTATTCCCCAAGCATCTTTTATAAAAGTCAAGTCTTTATAAAATTTACTTAAAGAGTTTTAACTTAGTACAATTTTAATTAATTTAAGAATTATTATAAATTATCCAATAGGATTAAGACTGTGCCTCTTTTTTTTAGAAACAATATTTGTATAAGTTACTAACTATTGTATTTAACTTCTTAAAAATATATAAAATTATGCAGATGTCTTAGTACTAACCATTTTGCTTCCATATGATTTAATGATATGGTCAGAACAGAGAACAAAAATGGGTAAAATCAAGAACAATTTAATAAATACATGACAAAGTTAAAAGCCGAAATAATAAATTAATATTATTCAATAAGCTAAAAAGGATAATTATCTGATCAGAAATATCTAATTCACATTTTTTTTTATCATGTATCATACTCTATATAGTATGTTGTACAAACTCTGTTCCTGGTATATGCAGATATAACAATAGTTCTATTCAATCAGTTTTTAAAAAAGACTAGTCTAAGTGATAAACAATGCATATTAATGCAGTTGATAAATTATAATAAATACAATTTCATATTATTTAGGAAAAATATTACAATTATTAGCTTTTACCATTATATTTATATCAATATATAATAAATAAAAGATATTTATATTTATTTTATCTTTTATTTATTTTATTACAATGTCAAACAAAAAAAAGAAAAAATGTTTATACATACCAATAGAAACAAATCCATTTACTTTAGCTGCCCAAGTTACAAAATCAACAATTATAATAAATTATTATCAAGTTCAGAGTTACCAAATGAAGTGAAACTAATTCAAATAATAAACTTCAAATCTGATCAGATAATATTAAACATCCTCAACTTAATAAAAAAAATTTAAAATGTAATCCTAACTGGCTTAAATTCTATTTATGAATTAGAGCTGAACCATCAATAAATCCTTCGAAATTATATTGCAAATGGTATAAAAAGGCAAAATTTAGTAATATTTTTACTGAAGATATTGATTGGTTTAAAGAACAATATTTGATTCATTATTTAAAATCAAAAGATCATCAAAAAGCACAAGAAATTGAAACATGTGCTCAATTAACTATTCATGAAAGTATTAGAAAACCTTTGTCAACAGAAAAATTAAAAGTAATTCAAAATATGCATAATATGTATTGGTTAGTAGAAAATAATATAGCAACATTAAATATTCAAGGGTTGTGTAATCTAGTAAAAATGCAAATTCAAAATCAAGAAGATTATATAACTTCAACCAACATATGTACTATTAGACCTGTTTCTTTAATAAATATAGTATTAGAAGAAAGATGCAAATATGGTTCATATTCAAATAATCATGCTGGGCATGATTTTATTGAGGCAATAGCATGAGTAATTGAAGAATCAATTATTAAAGAATTAACTGAATCTCCTACCTGAAGTATAATAATTGATGAAAGTACTACAATTACAAATCATAAAAATCTTGATATAGTTTCTAAACATCTTGTTAAAAATATACTATGTTATAGATATTTTGGAATGGTACAACTTACTTCAGGAACTGCTGATTCTATAACTAGTAAATTATTATGGTTTTTTACTGCTAAAAATATACCAACTAAAACTTTATTTTATATGGAATCAGATAAAACAAGTGTAATGTTAGGTACAATATATATTTAATTTTTATTATAAAAAGTTTTAAATAAATTAACTTATTTTATTTAATATTTATAGGAAAATTAAATGGTGTAGCTACTCAATTAAAAGCATTATATCCTTTTTTAACTGAACATCATTGTATTTCACATCATTTAGCTCTTGCAGAAAAAGATGCAGCTAAAAAAGTTATATATTTTATCATTATGAATCTATTGTTAAAAAACTTTATACTTATTTTAGTACTTCTTATTCATGAATGAAACATTTAAAAATAATAGAAAATGAAATTGGTGATTCTGAATTGGTGCTTCTTTAAATAATTACAACTCATTGGCTTTCATTTTCTAATGTAGTTAAAAATTTACATCAAATTATTAATTCTGTTGTTACAGCTTTATTTGAAGATAGTTTAACAGATAATATAGCTAATTTTCTTTATTCAAAGATTGATAATAATTTTTATTTAGCTACATATTATTTGGCAAATATTATGGGATATTTAAGATGATTGACATTACTTTTTCAAGCAAATTATGTATCTTTATTTGATATAAAACTTCAACTTGATGCAACTATTAAGGCTATTACTACAAAGTTTATTGGTGAAGAAAATATATCACCAACTTGAGGAATTTATTTAAAAAATTATCTTATAGAAAAAAATATAGATGATTTTGAAATACTATTATTTGTTCAGAATTTTGCAAAAGCTGTTATTGAAAGTTTAAAAGAAAGATTTCCAGATTATAGTCTTGTTGATGCATTTCGTATATTTTATCCAAAAGAATTACCTATTGATAAAACTATACTTGGATATTATGGTCAAAAATCTATTCAAAAATTAATTAATTTTTATGATACTTCAAAATTTATTAAAGATAATATTTAATAAAAATTATTATACTATTAATACTATTTAAATATATATTGCATATTATTTAAATATATAGTTTTTTAAAAAAATTTAGTAGTAATATATATTTTAATAATTAATTTTCTAAAATTTGATTAATTAATACTATATAAATATATAAAATTATTTATTTTTTTTGATAATATATATTTAAATAGTATTGCCTATTATAATATATTATTTTATATTTAATATTTATTAAATTTATTAATAGATAATGAAATTCTTGCTATTATTAATGGTACTGAACTTTTACAAGAATGGTCTGTATTTTGTTCTTTATTTTATAATTTTCAAAATTTTAAATTAAATGATGCTTGGTATAATATTTTTAAAATTAAAAATTTTGATATACTTTATTCAAATATTTCAATTTTAGTTTCATTATTACTAACTCTACCTCTTTCTAATGCTTATATTAAAAAAGTATTTTCATATTAAAATAATATTAAAACAAAATTATGTAATCAAATGCATTTAAAAACTCTTAATGATCTTCTTATAATTTCTTTAAATGAACTATTGATAAAATTATTTGATTTTAAAAAAGCTTATAATTATTGAATTTCTAATCCTCATTATATTCAATTTTAAGTTTTTATTTTATATACTATATTATAAAGGTTTTTTTTAGTTTGTTAAATCAAGCTTTTTTTCTTTATATTTTTTATATTTTATATTTTTTATATTTTATATTTTTTATATTTTATATTTTATATTTTTTATATTTTTATATTTTTATATTTATATATTTATAAATTATTTTAAAAATTAAATAAAAAATTTTTATTTAAATATTATATATAAAATTATATAAAATTAAAAAATTATTTTTATACAATACTAAATAATAAAAA